TTGCACAATGGAATACTACTCAGTGGGAAAAAAGCAATGGAATCTTAAAATTTGCAGGCAAATGGATGGAACCATCCTGAGTGAGGTACCCCAGTCACAAAAAGACAAATATGGCATGTACTCACTCATATATAGATATTAGACATAGAGCAAAAGATTACCAGCCTACAATACACACCACCAGAGAAGCTAGGAAAAAAAGGAGGATGCTAAGAGAGACATGCATGGTCCCTGGGAGAATGGAAAAGGGACAATATCTCCTGAGCAAATTGGGAGCATGGAGGGGAAAGGGGAGGGGGTTAGGAGAAAGAGAAGGGGAGAAAAGGAGGGGGGAGGAGGAGATGAGGGAGCAGGAAGATTGAGTTGGGTAAGAACTGAGGAGAACAGAAAAAGAGATACCATAATAGAGGCAGCCATTATAGGTTTCCAGAGAAATCTGGCACTAGGCAAGTGTCCAGAGATCTACAAGGATGACCCCCAAAGAAGAATCTAATGAATAGTGGAGGGGACACCTTAAACGCTCTTCCCCGATAATGAGACTGATGACTATTTTATGTGCCATCCTAGAGTCTTCATCCAGTATCTGATGGAAGAAGAAGCAGAGACCCACAGCTAAGCACTGAGCCCAACTCCTGGGATCCAGTTGCAGACAGGGAGGAGTGATGAGCAAAGGGATCAAGACCAGGCTGGGAAAACACAAACCAGCTGACCTGAACAAGGGGGACCACACACTGACAGCAGAGAAACCAGCAGAGGATCAAACTAGGCCACCTGAACCTGGGTGTCAGTTAGGAGGCCTGGGCAGTCTATGGGTCCTCTGGTAGTGGGTCAGTATTTATCCCTGGTGTACAAATGGATTTGGGGAGCCCATTCTCCATAGAGGGATACTCTCTCTCAGACTAGACACACTGCGGAGGGCCAAGGCCCTGCCCCAAATGATGTGACAGACTTTGATGATCCCCCATGGAAGGACTCACACTCCCCAAAGTGCAGAAAGGGGATGGGATGGGGAGGTTGGTGGGGATCATAGGAGGATGGGAAGGAGCGGGAATTGGGATTGATATGTAAAGTAAGATTGTTTCTAACTTAAATTAAAATTTTCTTGAACAATAACAAACTTCAAAGTAGCTTTCAAATCACCAGGAACCTTGCTAATAGTTTTTAAGATAAACTATTACCAGAAAAGCAGTCTTGTCTATAAGGACATGTAGCCAGCTGTTCGATTTGTTAGGCTAAGGAGAAAAGTGGAGAGCAACTTGATTTCTGTGTGCAAATTCCTTGCAAGGTCCGGCTGGTACCCTAGGACAATGACTAACTCTCTGAACAAATTCCTAACCTCAGTTTTCTTATAGGGGCATGTATCCTGGAGAGCCAACACTCTGTCACCTAATATTTTTTTCTAACTATCAGAGCTACAAAAACAATAATTTGATTTCATAGTGCTGAGAAAGAGTTACGGGTTTCCTTTTTTATGGTCTAAAGTTACACACAGGACAGAAAATACATCCTAAAATTTAAAAGTCTTTTAGTATCACTGCTGCGTTGGAGAGTGCCAAGTGAGCTAATACTAAAAGAGTTATGTTAATCCTAAACCTGAACCAAATGACACACCTTTCCCTGTAAACACAACACTCAGTCCTAGAAGCCCCGCTTTTATGACTGCAGATAACAAAACGTTAGTTCAAAATGTTTATACACTCAAAAGTCTAGGTTAGAGTACACACTTTTCTTATTTTCTTATACTCCTCACTGGTTTAGGTTTATAACTCCTTTAAAATCCTTTATGAGAATAACTCTCTAGATAGACAAACTGGCTGCAAGTTACAGCCCACCAATTAGGGAGATGACAGAGAGGGAAAAAAAAAATGTTCTTCCTTGCTTTGTGACAAGTCGTTAAGTTTTTTTCATGTGAGTTATCAGGATGACTGTTTTTAACCATTCACTTAAGAAATGCAATGTGACCCTCAAATGTAGCTCCTACGTTGCCTGACAGATTTTGTGGGATATAAAAAAGAAGCTGTGGAGAGCAAAGAAAGAAGGAAGGAACATCATGATAGGAACAATGTGAGAGAATAAAGACAGGAATCCATCAAGAGACTGCTTGAGAGCCTTTCTTTCCCCTAACCCACTCCCAGATTAAAAACAGAAAAGACTTAGGGTGCTAATGCGGTGGATGTCTGTCAATACCGGGGCACTCTAGGATCTGGCTCTCTCAAGACTACGGTACTTGTTCACTACACACAGTCAGATGTCACTTCCGAATATAATTGGGCTGAGAATGGCATTATCACACATTGAATTCTCGTGCAGACACCATAGTGTACTTACAGAAACTAAGATGGCAGAGCAGTCACATGGTGATATGATCCTATAGGAACACAAGCATCATGACCATCTGTCCTTGAATAATGCCATCAGTATGTGGTGTGTGGCTGTGCCTTTGTAATTTCTATATCTTTTTCCCACCCTAAACTTTTAATCCTCTATTAGACTGCAATACAGTCACCTCAGTTTGGTGCCTTTTACACAACATATTTTTCTGTTTCTAATTTCAACTTCTTTGTTTCATTTTATCTGGTGGCTCACCTGAAACCACCATCCACATGGATCTCATTTCCGTTTTTAAAATTTTGTTATTTATTATCTTTCAGCAATCTTTGAAAGAGATGCTCACATAAGAACTCACCACAAGGCAGGAATCCAGAAATACCTCGATAGACTGTAAAGGACATAACAAAGTTTAAAAAAAAAAACAAAAACAAAAACAAAAAAACACCACACCAGAAATGCTCCAACCCTGGCCACAGCCTAATCTGCCACATTGCCTTGAAACTGGCTACACATCAAACACTGGCCTAGTTGCAGCATCTCCTCCAGCCTGAGCATTACTCTCTCCTGGAGCAGGTGGTCCCTCTCAACTATAGACTGAAGCATCCATTTGGCCCAAACCTTATGGTCTAGGAGCCTTCAACTAAGACCTCAGTGAGTTCTGAAAATGGCCGGACTCACCTGCTCCATGTGAGAGATTGGAGATCCCTGTGGGTCAAACAGATATTTTAGCAGCAGCATCTGGACTTGGAATATTTCTGGATCTTTCCCAGTTTCCAGCGAAGAGTAGTTCAGGCTTGCCCATGTCTGATCTCGCTTCTTAACCAACTTGTCCATCTCTGCTTCCAATAAGAGGGTTACTTCAATTAATCTTCAATTCAGGTACACCTCAATTAATCTTCAGTTAGTTACTGAGAGGAAACCCTTGCTCTCTCAGCTCTAGCTGTACACTTGACACAATCTAGGGTCCCCTGAGAGAAGGGGACCTCTCAGCTGAGAGAAGCCTGGGTCATAATGACCCAGGGGCATTCCTTTGCAGTTATCTTCATTGTTAATCAATGTGACAAGGCCAGCCAACAGAGGAAGTCCTGGGCTGGATATGAAGCTGGCGAAACATGTCCCCGTGAGTGAGCTAGTGTGCAGCATCCTCTATGGTCTGCTTCAGCTTCTACCCCAACCTCCTTCAGTGATGGACAGTGACCTGGAAGTGTAAGCCGAACCAACCCCTTACTCGCTAGAGCCACTTTTGGTCCAAGGATTCACATCACACAGTACAAAGCCAGCAAGGGCCCTGGCCTCTTCCACTTAGCATTTTGTTTCTGCATTCCTTTTGTGCCTCCTTCACTCTCCCTCTTTTACCTTTTGGCACTTAGTTGATATTCTTAGTGTTCTGCTATTCTGTTCACGAGGTATGGTTTGTTTGTCTGTCTGTCTGTTTTTCATTTACCTTGGAGACAAGTCAACATCCTTTAAAACTCATTACCAGGCTGTGTCCATGGGGTGGGGGGAGGACATGCCCCTGAGCGAATGTAGAGGTCAGAGGGTAAATTCTGGGATTTGGTTCTCATCTTCCAGTTGCTGAAGCAAGGTCTTGTCTGTTGGTACACCGTGATACACACTCCAGGAGAGATGTCCAGCGAGCTTCCAGGTGTAAATCAACACCTTAAACTCACCAAAACAGTATTTGAATATCAGTTCACTTTCTGTAGTATGCAAGCTCTGTGCGTTTCATTTCTGCCCCTCTCCCCCACACTATTATTGCCACAGATTGCAAATGTATACATTTTACACTTGTGAACACAGATTGGTAATTATGTTTTATGCATTGGTGTTTGCAGCCATACAGGCAAAAAAAGAAAGAAAGGAATTCCAACCCTGAAGCACACTAATACGTTTGTTCACAGTGTTCTTGCCGTGCCCTGTGCTCATTTCTTCTGTAGCTAATTTAACTGCTCACATCATTTCATTTCAGCCTGGAGAACTCCCTCTACTGCTCCCTCTACTTGTAAGGCAAGTCCACTGATAATGATTCCCTTCAGCTTTTAACTGGAAATGTCCTGCTTCCTACTTAATTCCTGAAAGATAATTTTTCTTGACAAAAATTTGCATGACATTCTTCAGGATTTGCGTGTGTTACGCTGTATCTTCTGGCCTCCAAAGTCTCTGGTGGGAAATTAACTGTTAACTCATCATGGTTCCCTTGTGAGTAAAGGATGGATGCTTCTCTATATTGCTTTTTAAACACTCACTGCAGTTCCCGCTGTCTTCAGGGTCCCCACGAACCATCTGGGACTCACTGTAAGCCTGGACCTCTCTGAGAGCGCAAGCTACTAAGTCCCAAGTGGACTCTGGGTGCTGGGAAAGATCTCAAGCCTCCGACCTTGGCCCTGTCAGGGCTAGCGCCTCTTCCTCAGACCGCCCCCTCCTCATTTCGGATTCCCTTCCCTGTAAACAGGGTTAAACTCCTCCCCCTCCTCCTAGAGCATCGCTCCTCCCTCTCTTCCTCACAGAGTCCCCACCTCCCCAGAGAAGATCCTCCTCCTACTCAGAATGTCCCCTCCTCTTCCTCACAGGAGGCCCTTGTCCTCCTCCTCCCCCCCCCCCCTCCTGCTTCTCCTCCCATACTCTCCTCTTCAGACTTGCTGCTCCTCACATTGCCCCCTACTCCTCAGAGCGCTTCTTCTTCTTCTTCTGAGCCTCTCCTCCGGTTCCTGCAGGGTTTCAGACATCTCTTGCCTCTCCTCGGCTGGGCTTCAAAACGCACCGGTAAGGGCAGGGCTTGCCAGGAAGGGATGCGAGGCGAGGAGCGACCTTGGCACTGGAGTGTGGCAGACCCACCCTTTGGGCTGGGTGCTTCTCTCCTTTGGAGTGGGCAGAGGGGAGTCCTATGGCTTCTTGTCCCTTCAGGGATGATAGAGTAAGCAGTTTTCAGTTGTCCCAGGCTGAGGCCAAGATGCCAGAACCACCCTGGGCCTGATAAAGAGCAGGTTCCCGGGGCTGTAGCCAGGCCTCAGGCCTGAGGACCTCTGTTCTGCAGCCAGCAGAACAGTTCCACCCTGACCCTGGGCCTTTGAGTACCTTGCCCTTTGGAGTGTGTTCTTGGCCACAAGGCACAGGCAGTACCTCAGCAAACCAGACCTCTCTCCACAGACCCTGCTTCTTGCCCTTTGGGGTTCACAGAGGGTGGGGAAGGGGGGTGGGTCTGCTGAGGGGACACGGCCAGCTATGCTTGCCCATCTGCAGCTGGAATGTTGTTTTCACTGACTGGCGGTCTTAGAACACCCACTCCCATTTAATTAGAAAAAAACTAAAAGAAATCTACACTAAGCCAAAATCCCAGCACTCGGGGGGCAGGGGCAGGAGGATGTCTGCGAGTTCCAGGACAGCCTCGCCTACATGTCTGACAACACAGGGAGTTCCCGGACAGCCAAAACTACACAGTGAGGCCCTGCCTCAAAAACAAACAAACAAACACACGCACACTAAACATGCAAGTATTTTACAGTAAAAGACCATAGACCACCAACTAGAATGCACAGTACTATCCTGTGTAACTTTATCATCGTCATGTCCAGGCAAGCTGCCCACCCTGCTCTCTTTGGTGTGTCGAGACAGCAGCAGACACTGCTGAACTCCCCTCTGCAACAGCCAAGCCTACACCTCTGCACCTCCTCACTAGAGTCTTGGAATTCTTGCCTGTGCCAAGTGACAGAAGTCCTGGAGATTTGGTTTTCTTTCCAGTTTTGTGTTTTGTGTTTTTGAGACAGATTTCATAGTGTGGCCCAGCCTGGCCTAGAAATCAATACAGTCCTCCTGCCCCAGCCACCTAAATGCTGAAGTCACAAGTAAGCTATCTTGTGGATCTAGTCCTGAGCTTTTTAAAGTGTTTCTGCCTCCCAGCATCAAGGATGAGAAGGGGTTGAGAGTTTTCTGTTTGTTTTGTCTTGTACTGTTTTGTTTCCCTCCCCTTCCCCCTCACCCACCCCCCCACGTCCCACCCCGCACCCCCCACCCCCGTGGGTTATGTTTGTAGGATAGTAGGATCTGAAGAGTTGCTCTGGGGCTCCAAGCAGGATGTAAAAGGCAGCTGTCCACTGTTAAGCTTGATCCTAAGGACAGGCATGGAGTGTGCAAATAATGCCTCAAAGAACAAAATGTTTGTTTTCTGAAAGCCTCGGAGGACCATGTTGGCAGGGACTGAAGTAGGTCATTGGCCTGTGTGCTCTGTTAGGACTTTACACTGTTAGCTTGCCGGTTTGAATCTGCTGGTGCCATGTGTGATTTCTAAGCTCTGGGGCATGGTTGGCAAGTTCATACTGGTGATGAATTAGAGGTTATGGCTTTGAGACAGGTGAGTCCAAGTACTTTCTCTTCAGCTACAGTTCTCCCTCATGTAGTCTCTTTGGGGGGGGAGGAGGCACTGGAATCTTGTTGTGCAATGCATCACAATTGCCATGGGGATTTGATTACTAGGTGGGAGGGAGTCTTTGAGCTCTAGAACAATAAGCCAAATTAAACCTAAGGTTTAATTTCTTCGTATGTATTTGCATGTTCATGTACCCACCTAGAGGTAAGATAACAAGTTATGGGAGTTGATTGTCTCTTTCCATATCTGGATCCTGGGGTCAAACTCAGGTTGTCAGGATTAGAGAAAGGTGCCTTTACCCACTATGCCATCTTACAAGCCTTCCTTTTCTTGTTAAAATAGTATATTTTCACATTTTTTGTTACGGTTTTATGAATATATCAATCTCCCTCATCCCTCATGCTTCCTGTCATGTGATCCCAAAGATTACTTCATAAGTCCCCCTGCAAAAGTGGATGACATATGGGTCAGACGAGGACCCATTAGTGTTAGTCAATTGAGGCAAGGGGAAACAGAGACATGCAGGAGAGATCCTGCGCCATATTAAGGGTGTGAGCTAATAGGAAGAAGTCCCAACTTCGTGTTGTTGTTTGAGGTGGTTGGGGGCTCACACTGTAGCTCAGGCTAGACTCAAAGAGCAATCCTCCTGCCTCAGCCACCCAAATGCTGGGATTACAGATGTGAGTCACTACACCCAGCTCCAGACTATAGTTCTGTGGGGAGCTGGGGCTGAGCTCAGGTATATCAGAAAGATGGAGACGTTCTGTTACTTCACCTTCCTACCCTGAGAAGTAGCTGGAGAAGAAAGGGAGGGAAAGGCCTATGGCCCTGCCTCTGCTCTCCTACTCTGCTGGCTTCTTCTGGCTACACGGACAGCATAGCAGCTTGACTCAAAGCAGAGGACAAAGGGTCATCTCTGCTCTTTTGATGTGATAAGTGCCCTATCTGTGCCTGGTACCTGGAGTATGGAAGGCTGCTTGTGTGCCCTGAGATGCCTAGGATCAGCATGGCATCCATGCTGTGGGTTGCTGGTCAGGGAAACACTGTCTGTAGTCTGGCCTTGACCATCTTCCTGCACCTAGAGTACCTGATGCACTGATACAAGTGACCTGCTTCTGCCCTCCTCCCAGTGACCCTCCCTTACCTGCATAGTTATTCCAGGCACCTGGTCCCACAGCCCAGCGTCCTGCAGTGCTGTTCAGATCCTCAATCACTGCCAACAAAGTCCTCGATGAAGACTCCAGGAAAGTCTCACTCCAAATTGAGGCAATATCCCCAAGCCCCTCTAAGTTGTGCTATCTATACATCTCCTCTCAATCAAGTGCCTGAGCAGAGGGTGCATCTGTCATCTGCCCAGACAAGCACAACCAGTATACTAAGCTCAAATGATTCCTCCAGGTTTCTGTTCCCTTCCCCTGCATAAGATCCTGAGGACTTAGTGGGCAGGCGGGAACCTCTAAGGCTACCATTGTCTCTGGCCTGTCTTTCCCCTCCTGCACTGACAACAACAGCTTGGTTTTAAGGCAGAGGGCAAAGGGCAGATGAATGCCAGGGTGTGATAACACTGTTTTTCCTGGTCTTAGGTGGTTGGAGTGAGAACCAAGAGGTGTTTCCAGAGAAACCCAGAGAGCATCAGGACAGCCATGAGGCTGCTGACTGGGGCTGAGCTGTGGTCTGTGGCCATATTCATGGCCATTTTCCTGCTTCTGGTGGACCTAATGCACCGGTGCCACCACTGGACTACCCGCTATCCACCAGGCCCTATGCCATTGCCTGTGCTTGGAAATCTGCTGCAGGTGGACTTCCAGAATATGCCAGCAGGCTTCCAAAAGGTACGGGAATTGTTGAGGTCAGGAAAGGCTATGGTAAACTCCCATCAGAACACAAAATACAACTAGACATTGGACAGAAGCTAGCCCCCAGGAGAAAGCTAAGACACTATCTTTCCTTGGAAAAAGTGGTGCAGAACCTGAGGATACCCTGAACTTCCAAAAGGCAATGGCCAGAAGGTGGGATGGGACCTAACAGCCTATTTGAGATCCAGTTAATAGGAGAGAATATAGTGGGGATGGTAGTACTAGGGTTGCATCCTAATTCCAACATGCCTGTCACTAGGAGGCTAAAGCAGGTGGGTTATAAATTCCAGGCCACCTTAAGATATGTAATGAAACTATCTCTAAAACCAAAATTTGAGAGCCAAGTGTGGTGATGCATGCCTCTAATCCCAGCACTTGGGAGACAGAGGCAGGCATATTTATTTGAGTTCTAAGCCAACCTGGCTTATCATAGTAAGTGCCAGGCTAGCCTGTGCTCATAAATGAAACCATTTCAAAAAAAAAAAAATAGAACTCTAAAATTTTTAAAGGGAAAATGCCTTTAATCCCATTATTCAGAAGAGGCAAAGGCAAGCAAATCTCTGGGAATTCAATACCAGCTTGGTCTACATAGCTAGTTCCAAGCTGGCCCTGGGTACATACTGAGACCTTGGCTCAAAAAATAAAATTAAATTTAAAATTTTTTTAAAAAGATCACAATTTATATAATAAAAATAAATGAGAAATCAAGTTATATAGGCCTCGCATTCCTTTTCATACAACCATGATCCTGAATAAGTGTTGCTTTCAGGAAATCAAAGTTGAAAGAGGTGTAGCGATTGATTCCATCCTTTCGCTGTTTCAGATTCTCAGACTCCGTACTTAATATGAGCCTTAGTGTCCTCCTCTATGCATGAGGATGCTAGCAGAACCAACTGAAAAATGTGTAACACTAGCAAGGCCATGGTGGAGTGATTGATTTCATCCTTCTGTGGGGCTCACTACTAGACCTCCCCTGCCAAATTCTATCCAGTACAGCTAAGCACTGGAATTTAGGCTTGCCAGTAATGCACTAACTCCTTGCCTACAGCTGCGAAGCCGCTTTGGGGACCTGTTCAGCCTACAGCTGGCCTTTGAGCCAGTGGTTGTTCTGAATGGCCTAACAGCCCTGCGGGAGGCACTGGTGAAATACAGCGAGGACACAGCTGACCGGCCACTGTTGCATACCAATGACTACTTAGGCTTTGGACCACGCTCTCAAGGCAAATGCAGAAAGTGACAGAAGCGGTGGGGAAGTGGGGACTAGAGGGGGCTCAGGGATTAGAGAGAGTTGGGACCTAATTTTGGGGGAGGTACAGACAGAGAAAAAAAACAGCAAAGGCTGATAGCTAAAGGGTGAACAAAGGATCTTATAGTAGTGATAGACTATAGTGGTGATAAAGGGGAGTCAGGAGCAGAAAAGAGAACTAGGTCTCAGGCCTAAGTATGGTCCTCTAGGTGTGGTTCTAGCACAGTATGGGTCTGCCTGGCGTCAGCAGCGACGCTTCTCCGTGTCCACCTTTCGTCACTTTGGCCTGGGCAAGAAGTCACTGGAGCAGTGGGTGACTGAGGAAGCCAGATGTCTCTGTACTGCCTACACTGACTATAATGGTAGGTGATGGATTGGTGGGTATAAGTGGGGATAGACAACAAACACCCTGAATGGCATTTCCATTCCCAGGACTCCCTTTCAGCCCTAATACTCTACTGGACAAAGCAGTATGTAATGTGATCGCATCCCTCCTCTACGCCTGCCGCTTTGAGTACCGTGACCCTCACTTCATCAGGCTTCTGAACTTGTTGAAAGATACTCTTGAGGAAGAATCTGGCTTTCTGCCTATGGTGCGGGGCTCAAGGGTGTCTGTACCCAGATAACTTCATGTAGTGGGGCCTCTCAGGAAGATGATCAACTTTCAGGAGTGACAGGAAGAGGGCATTCTGGGAGGAGCTGGACAAACTTCAGTGGGAGGAGAGAGGATAGACTGGGGTCAAGTGCTTGGAAATGGGGAGCGCCAGTGGAAGCCACACAGGTCTGAAATTTCCCTTCTGGAAGCAAAATGAATGTTGGAGGTTGGGAGAAACCATGTCACTAGGATCCAAGACTGTTGCAGGGGAGCACTGCACAGGAAGTACCCAGGCCTCACTATTGGTCCTTCTCTGTTGGTCACAGTTCCTGAATGTGTTCCCAGTGCTCCTGCGCATCCCAGGGCTGCCCGGCAAGGTCTTCTCTGGGAAAAAGGCCTTCATGGTCATGCTGGATGAGCTGCTAACTGAGCACAAGATGACCCGGGACCCTACTGAGCCACCCCGAGACCTGACTGATGCCTTCCTGGCTGAGGTGGAGAAGGTGATTGGCAGCTGCAGGAGATGGTGCCAGGGCTGTGGGCTGACATCCTGTGTATCACCAAGTGACTCAGCACCTGAGCTGGCTGGAGACAATCGGAGGCTATTAAGGGACTTCCTATCCCCACTGAGTTCACCCTTTCTGTCTGGCCCAGGCCAAGGGGAATCCTGAGAGCAGCTTCAATGATGCGAACCTGCGCATGGTGGTGGCTGACCTGTTCATGGCGGGGATGGTAACCACCTCAACCACACTGTCCTGGGCCCTGCTGCTCATGATCCTGCACCCGGATGTGCAGAGTGAGCCTGGCTAGGGCTAAGAAGGAGGGAAGAGGCACACTCTTTAAGCTTACTTGGAACACTTGTGACTCCCAGCACTGGCCTGACTCCAGCAAGGGATGATGTCCTTCATTCTCCCATGGACCCAGCCCTTAACATAGAGGTAGTAGAGGGACTAGGGGCATCCACTTGGGGCTCCTTAACTGGGGGTGTGTTGTTTCTCCAGGCCGTGTCCAAAAGGAAATCGATGAAGTCATAGGGCAGGAGCGGTGTCCAGAGATGGCAGATCAGGCCCGCATGCCCTACACCAATGCTGTCATTCATGAGGTGCAGCGATTTGGTGACATCCTCCCACTTGGTGTGCCTCACAGGACATCTCGTGACATTGAAGTACAGGGCTTCATTATCCCTAAGGTAGGCCTGGGGCCTTCAATGTCCAATGAGTGCTACCAGCCAGCTAGTGGCCTGAGCTGCCCAGTTAAGGACTGGAATCTAGGCAATCCAATTCTCAACCCAACAGTACCAACTCCCCCTGGAGAATATGGAAAGTGAAACAGTAACAAGAACTGTACACCAGAACTCTCAGCTAGAAAATTCAGCAAGTTAAAATATGGCTGGAGTAGTTGCAGCAGCTGCCTACAATTATAAGTGACTGTGCATACCTATGTCACTTGTCACTTATCCCTGTCATAATATCAACGAAAGGGCTGAGGAGCTTCTATGGATGAGGTTACATGAAAGGATCAAGTGTGTGAGGTAGAAACTATTCATATGATCATGGTGACCCCATCCCAGTCCATGTTCACACCATGTGTTTCCTGCCAGGGGACCACCCTCATCACCAACCTGTCCTCGGTGCTGAAGGATGAGACCGTCTGGGAGAAGCCCCTCCACTTCCATCCTGAACACTTCCTGGATGCCCAGGGCCGCTTTGTGAAGCATGAGGCCTTCATGCCATTCTCAGCAGGTGCTGTGGGGTGCCTGGCCCCATGCCTCTTCCCAGGGTGCCTTGCAGGGTGGAGCATCCATCAGGCCCCAGACTGACTGAGCCCCTCTCCCGCCCACAGGCCGCAGAGCATGCCTGGGGGAGCCCCTGGCCCGCATGGAGCTCTTCCTCTTCTTCACCTGCCTCCTGCAGCGCTTTAGCTTCTCGGTGCCCACTGGACAGCCCCGGCCCAGCGACCATGGGGTCTTTGGTGCTCTGACAAGCCCATCCCCTTATCAGCTCTGTGCTTTTCCCCGCTAAGAGGAGATCTGAAATCTTACCCATTGCCTTGCTGGGGTTCTAATGTGCAATAAATCATTTTCTCCAAGCTATAATGGGACCTCAGTAGCCTCCCCTTGGACCTTCAGGTTATTCTAACCTGACCATTTGACCCTAGTGGAAGGACTGGCCTTTGAATCTCAGAGAATGACAGCTACCCTTGCCTTTCCCCTACCCTCTCTTTTTCCAACCAACTGATAATGTTTGTACATAGATGCCAACATCTGGACGAAAGGTCAGAAAAGACTGCTGATAGGTGGCTGTACGTTACATAGAATAGAAGGGCAGGATTCCTACTAGGAGCCCCCATTTCAGACCCACTTCTACCTGCCACACAGCTGAGGCTAACTGTTCAGCAAGCATCATCACATCTATTGCCTAACTTCTATGACATTCCAAAGATGTAGAGAAATCAGGGAGACTGGAAATGATATGCCTGGTTAAGTGTCCAAGGTGAGCCATGGGATACTAGGGGCTTCCCTAAAAGGTTTTATGGGAGTCCAGAAAGGGCTTACCTTGCAAGCTTCTTAGTCACCACTAATTCTATGACCCATCAGGGTTACTGGTGTCCAGTCCCCTGCATAGTGAAAAGATGCTTCTGAGACCTAGCTTGGTAGAATCAGCAAGCTCAGTGTTGTAACAGGCCCCCAGACCTTAACACGACCTTCTCCACTCAGCACACTGACAGCACCTCTTGGCATAATGAAAACAAAGGCCCAATCCATCCATTGAAGTTCATAGTTCTGGGAAAGTCTCTAAATGTACTGACCTTGCTTTTTGGATTCTGTAATTCTGCTTCTGGCTAACTGTTCTTGTTAACTGTATGTGTCAACCCAGGATAAGATTGATGTGTTTAAAAGTTCACCCTGAGAAAGGTTTGGGTTACACTGGGATCCTAAACACTCAGTGTAGTCACCAGCGGGTTAATAAAGACTTCCTATTAGCTTAAACCTGTGTCTGAGTAGTCTCTGATGGATACCCCACAATATTTCTGAAGGTTCCACCAAGATCCCCCAAACCCACTGGGAGTCTCAGATCCTCTTGGAGCAGAGAAAAGTGCAGTGGCCAAGGAACTCCTGGTGGTGCACAACCTGGAGACTTTCCAGAGCCCTATGGTTCCCTTTGATCAGTCATTGCCTCAGGGCCCTATGGTTCCTTTTGATCAGTCATTGCCTAAAAAGTTTTGGAGGAATCTAACACCTCTACCCCAAAAAGGAAACAAATTCTAAAGTCTGCTACCTGAAGTGGTTGAGGTGCCTTCTGTTTCTAGTACAAAGGAATGCTGCTGATCCAGTGTCTGAGATCTATGTGTGACACCACCAGAGTCCCCTAGTCTGCTCAGGTGTTTAAATGTGTGGTAGCTACCCCCTCGCTGTTTTTACTGTGAGTACATCTTTCTTTGTGCTTGTCAATTCTGTTGATTGGAGAAAACATCTAAAATGGAAGGAGAATGATCCTGCCCACAGCTACCCCAGTCCTCCTTCCATGGCCCACAACTTCCCGAAGGCTCACAGGCAGCAGCTGCTACTGTTGCTATGAAAATGCTGGTAGCAATTCTAGCCATGAGGCCCACCTAAAGCTTGATTCTTGGCCTCTCCATGCACAACAAGCTGTCCCCAACTCCCTGTTGGTGAGGGCAAGTATCATGGGCTCCACTGCAGTTAATTTTGTTTTTTTTGTTTTGGTTTGTTTGTTTGTTTGTTTGTTTGTTTTTTCGAGACAGGGTTTCTCTGTGGCTTTGGAGGCTATCCTGGAATTAGCTCTTGTAGACCAGGCTGGTCTCAAACTCAGAGAGATATCCCTCCCTCTGCCTCCCGAGCTCTGGAATTAAAGACATGCATCACCACTGCCCAGCTGCAGTTGAAATTTTAGTCTTAGCTAGTTATGAAGAATAAAAACTTTTTAAAAACTCAATACTCAAGTAAACATAGACTTTTGAGCCATCTAAATCTTCTGCTTCCAGTCTGGAAGCCCAGTTAGATTCTTTAACGAAGGTTTTTTCTTCAGAATGAAGAGGGACTGGACCTCCTCTTTAAGAGACAAGGAGGTCTCTATATAATACTGAAAACAAACAAACAAAAAACTTGTTATTTCTATGCCAGTCAATTGGAGAGAATTAAAAAGATTTAGCCATGGTCAAAAAATAACAACAACAAAAGGAGACATCAAAATCTAACAACTGGCACCAGTCCTTGTTCTGAACCTCTGACTAACCACTCTCTTTAAGGCCATGGCTGGGTCATTAATCCTTTTTCTCCCAGCTCTCACTGTAGAATCCTGATTGCTCAACTTCCTACTTAGCTATATAAAACAGAAAACAAATTCTGTTAAACTATTAATGCTAATGAGAAAATATAACCCAGTTTCCCCAGATGAGTCCATGATTTGACTCATGCCCATAGAACCAATGGGGAATGGAAGAGGCCCGCAGACCTTAGCATAACTGACACCATAATAGAAGTGCCATTCAGGCCTTGGAACCCAGCAACAGACAGCAATACCTGCAACAAAGACCCTTCTGACGGGGGAGGTCCTTCTGTATGCTGTAAATATATGTTTCTCTTATTGGTTGATGAATAAAGCTGTTTTGGCCAATGGACAGGCAGGATGTATCCAGGCAGGAAATATAGGCGGAGCTACCAGACTAGGAGAATTCTGGGAAGAGGAAGGTGGAGAGGAGCCACCAGAGGGAAACCATGTAGCTCTGGGAAGGGAGGACACCTGGGTATTCTCCAGGTAAGATAAGGTCATGTGGAAATATATAGATTAATAATTATGGGTTAATAATTAAGAGAAAGCTAGACAATAAGAAGCCTGTACCATCAGCCAAACAGTTAATGATTAAGCCTCAGTGTGTTTATTTGGAACAAAAGGGCAGTGGGACTAGGCAGAACAGAAATTCTGTCTATACCCTCCTCAGCAGAAAACAGCTATAACACCTTACCCTGCATTTTCTACATCCTCTCAGAACTTGGAATGAGTTTCCTACTGAGAGACTAGACTTCCAAGATTCCCTTGCAGACTACAAAAGTCATTTCCACTCCTAAAAGAGACCAAATTCTATCTTCTGCAGACATTCTGGCCATCCACACATGTGGGTGACAAGATGCCCCATCCCCTCAAAAAAGCATGGTCCTGTCTAAGATCAGATCAAGCCTGCCTGCCTTCTTTCCTTCCTTCCTTTCGTCCTTCCTCCCTCCCTCTCTTTCTCTCTCTCTCTCTCTCTTTCTTTCAGCCTTCTCTCCAGATACTTTTTTTAAATCTTGTTAATACTTGGGAAGACACAGATTGAGCCCCAATGGCTACAGTAGGCCTGCTATAGGAAGATAAGTCAAACTTGGGGCCCATAGTCAATGGGATAGACAAAGAACAAGGTAGTGGCATGGGCATCTGAGAAAAAGAAACTGTTTGAACCTTGCTGTGTGCCACACTGGGTATGACTGACCTCATCTTTGTCTTTTCCCTCTTCTACTCAGAGGAAGCTATGCCTGATTGTCTCCCTGCTCTGACTCCTGGGCTGTGACCCTTGCCAGACTTAGAATCCCAGCTATGGGGGATAGTTTCAACTTAACAGGACCTGGAATCACCAAGGAAACAAACCTCTGGGTATGGCTGAGGAGGTTCTAGATTGAGTTGATTGAGGTGGGAGGATCACCCTCAATGTGGACAGCACCATTCCACCAGCTTGGGTCCAGGGCTGAATCAAAGGGAGAAAGCGAGTAAGGAACCAACAATCAGCTCTCTCTGCTTTCCGATTATAGATACAATATGAACAGTTGTTTCATGCTTCTGCTGCCATGCCTTCCCTACTATATTGAACTGTATACACCCTCAAACTGAGAGACAAACCCCCCTTTCCTGCAGTTTCTGTTGGGTATCTTGTCCCAGCACCACAGAGTAACTAACATACCTGCTGAGAGCTGCACTGCTATCTGTCACATTGCCTCATCGCATGATAGCTGACCTGAGCTCAGAGATAGCACCAGAGAGTGTCTAAGAATCATCTGCTTCCCTGACACCTCAGACACTGAGAGCAGAGAGCCTGAGGCGTATTTCCCCCAGAGGGTCCAGCAGTACCCTTGCTAGGGTCCCTGCCACTGTTCCCCTTGTGGGCGGTGTAGCTCATATTTCAGCAACATCTGGATTCTAGCAGTCAAAGGGCTGGCCTGAGCCCCTGTGGGTCACCGAAGAATGCCCACTAGGTTAGGGAGCAGGAGGTATGTCCCTGCAGCTGGTAGGGAGAGCGTGAATATCCCAAGGCAGCTTTGAAAGTCTGAAAATAAGACAGCTAGGCTTGCAGAAGCAGCAGATACAGGCTGTATCTTTACTGTATCCTTTCTCATTTGTGGTTCTTCACTTTGAGAATATCAAAGGCTGGAAGCCACCCAGAACAGAACTCTCTCAGGAAATGCAGGAGCCAGCCTCTGGACCTTTCATCCTTGCTCTCTACTACAGAAGCCTCTAAAACACAAACAGGTGGTCCCTGTGGGTCACTTGCTGAGGGAAAAATTTACTCAGCTCCAATTACCCCCTAATGCCTAGGGACGGGACCAGTCATTTGTGTTAAAAGGGTAGGTGTATAGCCAGCTAGGGCAAATAGCCTAGAGTTCCAACATGCAAGGAAGTAGGAGGCCAAGAGAGGCTCACTCAGATAGGTCAAGCCTTCTAGCTATCTAGTATTCCTCTCTCCTTTCCAGTTCAAGGGTCTGAGAGGGAATGAACTGTGTCCCTGACAAGTCTACAGGTGTCATAGATAGGGACAAGGCAGTCTTGTTGCAATAGGGTCAGGTAGCTATCTCACCAAATGGATTTACACCAACTTCCTGTTCCATGTTTCCCTTTTCCTGGGATGGAGAAAAGATTGGGAAGAGGCAGAGTTTGTACAGATGGGGGAACTGAAGCCTGGATCCCAGAAATTTGGGGGAGCACTCATTCCCTGATTATGTCAGGTTTGCTACCTCTCAATACCACACAGAGCTGCCTGACCTACCAGGATGACAACTAAACCTAGCAGTTTTGGATTGAGCTAATCCTCAGGGTCCCCTTGTCCTATAGACCACCATCTATACCATGCAATGTTCACGACATCTCAAGAAAATCCACGATGGTGATATTCTGGTTGAGACTTCAAATCTCCTTACCTCCCAGCCTAGGAGGCTAGTTGCTTCTTCCCTAGAGGACCTCACCTGCCCTTCCTCCTGAGACAAGACACCAATCTCCTTGGACACAGCATCACTCCATCCTCCCATTTCCCTTGTGGTCATGGCCTTCAAGGAGAATCAAGCAGGCAGACTATGAGCACCAAGGCCCTCAGAACACCTCATGCCTCCTGTTCTCACACTTGGGGTGTTAGAATTTTTTGCTTTTCCTGAAATGTCCTAAGCTGTGATGAATTGTTAAGTTCTCCTCAAGGGGACCCACTCTTTCTCCTGGGACCCTCAGCCAGCCATGATCTGTGAGTCACAGCCCAACTTTTCTAGGGAAGACTCACATACCCCTAATGCTGTCTCTTCCCACTCCTGACTGCATCTCTGCTGAAGATAACAGCAGAGGTAACACAGTGCTATGAATAACAGGAAGTCTATCCTTTCCAGGTGCAGTCTCTCTTGATGTGCCTGCCAGGGCCAAGCCAGTAGCCACCCCCATACAAGGGAAAGCGGTATCCCCAGCCCTCACCTGAATGGTCATGGGGTAGCACTTATCCACAGGGCCACACACTGATCTAAAGGTCTCCCCAGTGAGTTGCATAATAAGGAAAGAGGGGAAGCTCAATGTAAGCTACTGCTGATGCCTGCATAAGCAGCTGCCTAGGAGCCAGGAGTACAGCTCAGGAGCAAAGCACTTGCCTAGCATGTGTGAGGGAAGCCCTATGTTCAATCCCCAGTATACTAAAGGTTATGTTGTGAGTTTAGGCTGGGAGTAGGTAAGCTTCTGCCACAAACTCTTGGAT